AAAACAAATAAATAAATACCATAAACCCTGGTCTTCAAGACCAGGTGCGCCACACAGCTGTGGGAAGTGAGTCGGTTTAAGGAAGGGGAGTGGGGCCACGCTGGTCAATTGTCTCTCTGTGGTAATGCCAGCTCTTAGGAATCCAAGAGAAGCTGGAAATCGGGTTCTCACGGGATGTCTTCTCAATTTAAATGTTGGGAAAAAATTACATTAAAGGAAAAAAAACCCAGAAGTTTGTTACCCAAACAAAATATGTCTGGCCGGATTCAGCCTGCCATACACCACTGTTTGAACTTTGGTCAAGGCCGGCAGTCTGGTTTTACAATACTGTATGTGCGCTTCACATCATCCTCTCACTGCTCCGGTGCCCGCAGTTCAACATCTGTGCCAACAGCAGCCTCCACGACTACGCCAACATCTTCCCCATGAACAACGAGACTGTAGCCGTGGACATTTACCAAGGAGTAAGAGTGCCGGACCGGTGGGCGGGGGAGGTCGCCCCGCCCGCTTCAGGGGCGGAGTCTTCAGGGAAAGGGTGGGGCTACTCGCTTTACCACGCCCCATCCCCCGCAGGGCGTGATCCTAGGTTGCCTCTTCGGCCCCGCCGCCCTCTACATCTGGGCCATAGGTCTCCTGGCAGCCGGGCAGAGCTCCACTATGACAGGCACCTACGCTGGACAGTTCGTGATGGAGGTGGGACAGTGGGCAAAGACAAAAGGTGCACTGCTAGGGGCTAGGCCTTGTTGATCCTTAAAGCAGCCCAGAGGGCGCCAATATAATCCTCACTTTACAGATGAGAAAACTGAGATTCAGATAGGTGAGGCTACTTGTGGAAGCTGCAGACCCAGGACTAACATGAGCATTTTCCCAAAAACTTTAGTCTTCAGCAAGCAGCTATGGGAGGACCTCCTTGCCCCCATTTCTCCCCACTCATCCCTTCTCTGCCAATTAGGGACAAAGTAATGGAAAAACAGAGAGTTCCCTGGGCATGAGGTGGACAGAGGGTCTCTCCTCTAGAAGCCCTAGTACTGCAGGTCTCCACCACTAAGGTGCTCACCCCTCATACCCAGGGCTTCCTGAGGCTGCGGTGGTCACGCTTTGGTAGAGTCCTTCTCACCCGCTCCTGTGCCATTCTGCCCACGGTGTTGGTGGCTGTCTTCCGGGACCTAAAGGACCTGTCAGGTCTCAACGACCTGCTCAACGTGCTACAGAGTCTTCTGGTGAGATGTGCAGTCTCTACAATCCCTGCTCCCTATAGAGCCAAACCAGAACCACAGCAACCCCCACCCTGAGCATACCCTGGCCAGCCAGGCCCTATCCTAAACATCCTTTGCCTACAAGGCTCATCTAAGTCCCACAGCCACCTCAGGAGGTAGGAACCATCATTTTATTTCCATTTTACAGATGGGAAAACTGATGCATGAAGTTAAGTGACTAGTGGCAGAGCAGGGATTTAAAAATCAGGCAGCCCTTGGCTCGGCACCTGTGGCTCAAGTGGCTAAGGCGCCAGCCACATACACCTGAACTGGCAGGTTCGAATCCAGCCTGGGCCCGCCAAACAACAATAACGGCTGCAACCAAAAAATAGCCTGGCGTTGTGGCGGGCGCCTAT